GTAGGCCTACTGTAATTAAGCTCTAACCAATGTAATAACATTTACAGAAACTAAATCCAAATCGTCTAAAACTGAAACATATATTTAGGCATACATTCGTTCGCCTATTGAGTTTAATGATAATTACATTTTCCAATCAAAAATATCATTAGGCCTACTTATACCATTTCGTATAATCGTCCTAAAAATAAAGAGTATATGTGTATTTCAAGTGTTATTGGACTGTTTTTATTAGTTTTCCTCAAGTAAAAGTCCTCAAATTCACAAAAAAATCAATACAAACATAGGTTTTGCAATCCCGTTAATCCCGGGATTAAAAGTCACCAATCCCGGGATTTCTAGGTATCAAAAATCGGCCGGGATCCCGGGATTAGAGGACCCGTCCTTCATCCGGGGTTGATGTATGTTTAAATGGTCTTTTTGAAATCTGAAATGAAAAACAGTGTAAAATAAGATTCAATTCCAATAAATGTACCTATCAAAAACTTTAAACTTACTAATTACATATACAACAAATTTCAAACAATAAAACAAATAAAAAAACTCAAAGCTTTTACTTACTTTTAACAGATTAAATCAAACATAGACAAACAATAGTTTACAACATATGGTTAATATTATGATTTGAATGAAAAGAAACATGTGGTCAGCATTGATTATACAAATGTCTATAACAACAACTATGTGAACAAACAAAAACGTTAACACTCTTCCTACTAAAACAAACAGAAATATACTTAGCCCTACATTTATAGCTCCTACTATTCATGCACAAAAGGCAAGTGCATATACAACTTAGTTTTTTATTGTTGTTTTTAAAATGAAATATTTGTATATCAGCTTAGAATTAGAAAATTTAACGTCATTCAATGTTTATGTCGAGGGTAGGTTAAGTTAAGAGGAACTTGGTTGAAATTATACATGTAATGACCATGAAACGCTCGTAAAAAGTTATTCATTATTACAATAGAATGTGAAATCTACAGGAAGTGTCAAAATTTATAATATAGATAGGTAGTAGCTACCTGTGGATTAGAAAACATCATAACTAATCTATGGGTAGTAATATGAAATTATGATTTAAAAATTTGTGAAAAGGCAAATTGTGTGAACAATATTTCTCTCAAAATGGCAAAAATATACAATCAATTATCTCCGTGAGAAAAAGTTTCAATTTTTAAGGTGTGTACTCTAAACACGTGTTAATTGTTCAAATATGTTAAAATGATTCAAGTAAATGTGAACTTTAAAATTTCACTATTTTTTACACCAAAATCTTGTAATACAATTATTCACATTAGCGAAATGTTTAATAATTAATTAGGGTTGGATACAGCAACAGATATGCAATCTCACTTATTTCATAAAATAAATAATCAATGAACCATCAAATATAAGAATAAATAAACATGTCACATGATTGTCGAGAATATTATATGCCTATTTATAAACCAGCTGTGGAATTGTGAATTAATGTGGTTTGACAGTTCAGTTTGTGTACACAAATCAAATTGGTGGCATAGCAAATTGCAAACATTTTATGTGTTCTCATGGCAGCCATGGATACCAATCAATATTTACTTTTAAAATCCTCACCTTAGAACTTTTAAAGCCAAAGGGGCGAAGCCCACGGTCAGTATCGAAGTGTGAATAGCCCTATAAAGGTCCTTGGTATGGTAGCAATATTTTTGTATAATTTAAGCCCAGTCAGTTCAGTAGTTTATGCGCCTATTAGTAACACACATACAGACGGACACCCTTAGATTTTTACTAGCTGTGTGCCCGTTCAACGCACGGGGATCTTATAGTAGTCAGTTGAAACCTTCTAAAAATAAGATTAAGAACAGCAATTAGTTTGCATATTTGCAGATATGCTGGCAAAACTATTATATATAAACCTTCGCAAATACAGTATCTGACAGTTCAAGCCAAAATAACACACAAAATAACGGACACCCTTAGATTTTTATATAACAGTAAAGATTAAGTTACATGTCAGTACATCATAATAACAGGACATATTGTCAATGGTTAAATAAAGACTTAAAACTAATAGCCTAGATAAAACTAATAAATCTGTATTTACACAAAATCAACTGAATCTTCCCAAAATACAACATTGTTACATGACAAAAATGAGCTAGAAGGAGTGGGAAGGTTTATTTATACCTAATTCCAGCAGTCCTCAAAATAATCTGCCAATGGAAAAAATACTTATAGTCTTGACCCATTCTTTTAAAGAAAGTCTAAACTTAGAGGGATTTTCTAGAGTAATTACACTTGTCGGTAAGTTATTTAAAATTTTTGGACCAATTTATTGTGGTGATAACTCGAATATTTGTAAATTATGAGCTATAGGTTTGATAATATTCTTTTTTCTGGTATTGTAATTATGTTGAGTTTGCGTGTAGTTGAAAATTACAAATTCCTAGGTTATAAATAATTTATTCTCCGCTTGTTTTTATCATTAATCATAGAAAAGAAGGGAATTAGTTTATTTTGTACACTTTTGAATAGTAAAATTCAGATTCATTTACCATTTTCCAATGTGTATTTTGTAGTAGCCGGGTAGACATTGGCAAAGTCGCAGCGGCGTGCACGCTCACACCTGAAAAGGAATTACCACCCGAAAAAACTCGAGTGCACATATATTATTCTGAGCTAGTTATGTGTTTTTTGTGACCTACATTCATGAATCTGGCACACTACGAAAACCCGTTGTGTAATGATAAATACCACACTCAACGCTACATAAATTACGCGATCGTGTTGCGTAACGTACCACATTGAAGATCAAGGACGTGTTCATTCATCTCCAATTTTTCCTTATACTTACTATTGTCCCCACGTGCTTTGATTGCCTTAATTGCACAGTGACAAACAATTTTTTTTCAAATGTGTTTTACTACATTTAAACGTGGAAATTGAAAAACTAAGTATGGGAAAACGGACTAAGCAGTTTCACTTTCGTGGTACTCCGGCTGTGGTTTGCAGTAGGAATCAGGGCTACTGTAGACCTAAGTAGGAATAGTGTAGTTGAGAAAAATAAAAAGCGTCCGTGAGAATCTCATTGCGTCGCATCTACTGGCTCGTTGTTTTGGAAATACGTACACACTACATAACAACGATGTTGTCTGGTCTAAACCATGATTGCTACTGTAATTATAGAGTGAGTGGTGACAACAGGATTAAAAGTGTCCGCTTACACCTACACAGCTGGAGTACTACGCCAGTAAAAATAGTTATTTGTGTAACTAGTGCTAGCGTTACACATTATATCTTCACAAAAGTTACCTACTATAAAGCATAAAAATAATTAGTTTTTTAACACTATAAGCATATAAATAATTAGTCTTCAAACACTATACAACAGGTTTTTAGGTTAGGTTAGACCCAAGCGTTAACGAAATGGGAAACTCTGCACCAGCTGATGTATTCGTAATATCTTTAAGTGTTGCCAACTTATTTTGAAGCGTACACGTATTACGTGCCTAATAAAAGTGAATCGTGTTTTTTTTTTTTTTTTTTTTGGAATAAGTTATTGGAGTGCGGAAAAATGAGTCCGGCAAAAGTAAGTAAATACAGGAATTAGCTACTTTGCGTGCTACAATCAGTACAAGGAAACCCACTTTGCCAGGCAACTGTAGGAAAACTTTATCCTTTTAGCCCCACCCTGTATAAGTGTATATTTGGATAATACTGATTATTCCTAATTAATGTATTGTTCTTTGATTGAAACACTTTCGTATTCCCACTTCCTAATCTAAAGCCCATTGATTCATATTTTATGCATATTAAAAACAGGAAATACACAAAAATAACACATTACACGTGCACATGCTAATATATGTGTGTATGTACATGCAGGCATAAACCAAGGTTAGTATATAGGTTTAACCCATTGAGATATAGATTATAAACCCTTGTACCCCTTATAAGTAACCCTATATACTAACCTTGGGCATAAACAAGTGTAAAATGGACGAAAGAGCACGACTTAACAGTTGAATGATATATGGTTGTAACACTCACATCCATAAAACATTGATTGTTTGTTTGTTCTAAATTGGTCTTTAGTCGTCAATCTATTAATACCAAATTTTTACATTACATAGTTTCTATACCTTACTTTATGCTGGAAGAGGACCATTGATTATACATCTCAAATAAGATCGTGGGGGGGGGGGGTTGTAATCAATAATAGGATTATGAACCGGTGTATACGAAAGCGGATGGCAAGAATATACAAGGTAAGGCGAATAAAGTAAAGGTTTTCCAAGAGTAATAATGTGTATTTGAGGAATTAATTGTCAATGCCGGTTAAACTCTAACGTACGCGATTGAGCGATACTTTGCAGCAGCCGCGTTATATAATGCCTTTACGAACTACTGGGTGATCATTATGTTAAAAACTATAATTTTCTTGTCCATTAACACTTGTTAACACCAGATTCCACAGACAAATTAGTATTATTTTTGTGACTTATTGATTGAATTTCTTCGTTAAGTTTACTGCATCTCTTTATTTTTAAAGGAACGACGATTTCCCATGTAAATTTTATTCAGATTCACCAACCTGATTTATTGGACCAATAATTTATGTACAAAACCATCGAAAGTTTTGGACTTTTACTGATCGGGTTTCTAAGCTGACTACATTCAACCGATGTAATTTGCTTGGTTAATATAAATAAGTTTGGTATCTTTTGGCCGTTTATTCGTGGTTCCTTTTTTTATCTGTGGTGCAAAAGTACTGTTACAATCCTTGTGGCAGGCACCTTAAAGTCACCAATTTTAATGAAGTTCAAATATTCCTAGATGAATATCACGTTTCAATCTCTTCGTATGAATTGCCGTATTTGCATTCTAGATACTATACTGAATATAAATGTATTTTATTATATAAGTTCGATTCCTCGCCCTGAACTGCGATTTTTGTCACGTAGGCCGGACAGACGGTTGCCATTTCCTCCTTGTCCTTTCCTCGTCCTCTCCTGTACCCCTCCCACCGGGGACTAGCTCAAGTCAACTTGTGGTGAAGTCAGAGAGCAGAGTCACTCAACACTTGACCACAACCCGAGAGAAGACTTCACCTACTTGTCCGAGGTAACGACCAAACTGTCGATAGATTACATTTTATTCGTTGATTGATTTGTGAAAATATCGAATAGTTCAATACTGGTAACTTCGATAGTGGAATGTGATGTAACTGACATATACACGTTTAGGTTATTTATTACTATTTCATTTAAAATCATTAAATTTTAATCGTTGGTCTCGTACTCATGTTTTTCTTATTTTTCTTATACTCATCGCTATATATTTCCAAATGATTCTGATAAGAATTAATTTTAAAAATATTAATAAAATAATTGAAAAATTGTCTTCAACAATACCTATCGCAACGCTCCTTGATATTTTCCAGTTATATAATTATACTGAAGGAATTCTTGTTACTCGCGTATCAGACGATACATGTTCGAAGATAATACGTTTAATTTCAATGAAAGCGTTTGACTCTAGATGACCAGGTTTTGATCTTAACCAAAATATACAACAACCATTTAATTGAATAATACCACCTAATGCTAACGTTAATTTATATCGTTCGATATAATTTTTGTGAATGGGAATCAATTAAATTCGATTGGTTGTAAAAAACAACAGTTACAAAAACGTATTTCTCTCAAGCAATTCTGTCTCATCGCACAAAAATCTATAATTGATAAAGTTTGGAATAATCGGTTCGGTTCATTTAAAAGAACAATTGTATGCGAAAAAGTGTTAGAAATATCTTAAAATGGGGATTTTTCCTCTATTGGTATTGGAGTGGTCGATCTTCTTTTTGGCAAAGCGAAGTTGCTAGGCGAGGTCGTCCGGTGCAGTTTTCTATATTGCTTTTCGGCTTTTCGATTAATAAATCTTTATCAAGGACAACGGTCAATGCCCAGCCCATTTCATCTTGGTTGCTGTTCAGATATGGTTGGAGGTTGGAGAGGTCACTGACTCAATTCATTTGTTGTTAACTACTGGAACATTGTGGTTTTTTTCAATGCAAATAGTAGGTACTTAATATTTTCATTACGTTTATTATTTTCGTTGATATCAATGAATGGCTGTGACATTAAAGCATTTTTGGCGTTAAAAAGTGGTGTGTTCCGTCCCCTAATATCCATGCCAAGAACTCTCGAAATGTGTACGAAGTTTCTGAAGGAGTAACGAGAAACATGGGGAACTTTTTTGAATAAAATTGCAACTTATTTGGAATATTTTCAGAAGCAGTCCCAAGATTTCAAGTCCAAACAAACATTCTTCGTTTTATAGACAAGCTACACTACTCTAGGAGTTAAGGTTTTGATTTAATTGTGACCCATAACGATTACTAAATTATAATTAAGTACCCGAGGACCAAGCCATTTCTTTGCTACACCAGAATTTGTTTGGGAGATAAAAGACATTAAAATACATGTATTATTTCCAAAATTTTTTTATAATTAGAACCACAATATTATAAAGTACATTCTAAATCATGCAATAAAACGAATATCAACATTTTGTCATGTTTAAGTGTTGGTGCTACGTTTTGGCCTTAATTTTGTATTCTCATGTAATTAAAAACCATTGTAAAAAACAGGTATTTCTCACACATAAAATAAAAACAGTAAAATTAATAGACACCTATCCTCAATATAAATGGTTATGTTTAAAAATGTATTCATATCTTAATAAAATGTGATACTAATATCCTTGTTCTAACCACAGATAATCAATCCGTTACGTACTCCGCAATGTCATATCAAGTTATAACTTAGGAATCTACGATATAGAAATATAGGGTTTATATCATCGTCGGATCCTAGTCTTGATATCATTTTGAAACCCTAGTCAGGAGAAATAAGGATCTTTCGCTTATAATTCTACATTACATCTGTGAACCAAATATAAGTTTTAACCACTAAAGTCTAACCACAAATGAATAAGGTCCTTAAGCTTATGTCCTAAAAAATAATTGTTGGTGTTATGGGATGAATTCAAGTTTTTTTTTCTGTATATTTCAGTTTATGTTAATTTAACTATTTTGTCCATTATAGTTATGCTTCTTATTATTCACAATTCTTTTACAACCCTAGTTTCTGTTACAGTTAGCAAATTTGCTGTAGAAATAAAACCAATTCTTTTTAATATGACTGTTTCATAAATCAGTGAAATAATAGGAAATTCTAATTGATTGGATTCTAGTTAAAATATTATCAATACAATCTATAGCTTAGTCTCTAAAAACTCCATATATGTACATATGTGATCCAAAATCTCCAATGATTTGAAATAATTTGTTTGATGAACGTTTACATAAATATAATGTAAAAGTACGATGTACTTTTCCAATTACCGAATTATTTTGTGATGGTTTATAACTTTTAATTGGTTTATTTTTATATTTTTATCTAGCAATATATTTAACAAATCATTTGTATGCACTTATCAAATTAATTTATGAAAATAATGAATTATTAAAAGTAAAAACAATTTGAAGTGTATTTAAATGATGTAAAATCCTATTATGCGCCAAGGAATTGTTATAGGACGATGATCCCATTGGTAAGAGATGTTAATATGAGTTTAAGTACGACTAGACTTGGAGGCAAAGTACCACTTACACTTACGTAACTTGCATCGCTGGAGATATGCCTGAGGCTTGAATATAAATAGCATTGTCACCAATAAATAACATTGAGGATATCCTCGATGTTAATAGTGAACCTAATGTACAGGAACAGCTAAAGCAGCCTGTAGACCTTACCAGCTCAATCATTGGTTAATGTTGGTTTACAATTTTGGTTAAATTGTTTATACTTTTTATATAAAAAAAAATCATCCGCACGCTGTACTTGAAACTATCACTGGCATTAAGAGATTTACAGTATACCTATTTAACTAAGTGCATCCAATATAATTTCATTTAACTAGATTTTTACAGTTAATAAACTAATAAATAACACCCAACCCAAATACAATTTGGTCCAGAACCAATATCATCAAGAAATTAAAGCCTTCTTGTTCTTATTGAAAAGCAAGCACCATAACAACTCGGATTCCCAGTCAAGTTTGGATATTGAGTGATTGATGTTCACAGATAAATCACGGATCTAAGTCATTCTATTTTATTACATTTTCGTAATGATTGCTGACCTAGTACACCAATCATGCTATTGCGAAATAAGATTTCCAGCCTAGAGAGAGTTAGTTAAGTTAACCTAACCTAGAAGACCATTTTATCCTACATATATTCTAGATATAAATGCGGTTAAACCACTAGGTCATTGCATAATCAAGTGGCACTATTGGTTATTGGTCAGATATAGACCCTGGCCTTCAACACAGTCACATGGTTGAGAGCTTTGCTACTTAACTGGGCTAGGCTCGGTCTAAATGAGAATTGTTAGCTTAGGTAAATGTACTCTAATAATCGCAATTAGATAAAACTTACGTTAATTTATAGTTCACTAGTTTTTGCACCAGTCTAAAAACATACTCCCTTAGTAGATTTGATGAATAAAAAGATTACTCATCCTTATTAGCAGTCTAAAGACTAAATTAATTGTATTACATTTAAAAGTACACATATTTCTTGCACATCGTACGTATTCGTAGAGAATTTTCTTAAATATGTCAGGATTTAATGTTGATTGTTTATAATTTGCATTTTGCAGGACATGCAGCATGCAGATATTTATTCGGAACTTAACAAGAGGACGCCCAAGTACGACAAGATAGCGCAGGTCCTTAAGGACAACCAACATCTGTTCCAATGGGAGCCTGAAGAGAGGATCCTGGACGCAGGTTGTGGTCCTGGAGACATGACTTCCTGCGTCATCCTTCCCTGGCTCCCTCAGGACTTCCAGCTACTCCTGGGAGCAGACGTATCTCCCGCAGTCATAGAACACGCCCTCAAACACAATGCGTCTGAAAAAGTCAAGTTTGAAGTTTTGGACATCGCGGTAGACATTTCTATGTTCCTGCAAAAACAGGAAAGTTCCGCAGGGTTCAACAAAATATTCTCCTTCTATGTAATGCAATGGCTTCGAGATCTAAGGTAAGTTGTGGATGGTTTATACAGTGATAAAGCACCATTTTAATGTGCTAGACCTAAAACTTGAATAAATTTATACCAGATAAAAAGTGTTATTCTTGAAGTAAATTAATGTAAACGTAAATTCTGATTTACAAAAGACTCATTTATATATAGAAAAATTAAACTAGCTGGCGAATTAGTAATTATAGAATATATACATATGTACCTCCTTGCATAATGGCTTGTCAATAAAATAATCCACGTCATCTTGTCTGTAAGGCAAAAAATGAGATATTCATATTTTGAATTATAAATTTATGTAGAAAACATTTTAACAGATTTTACTCACAAACAATCTAGGTCAAGGTTAATCTCATCTTTATTTTCTTAAAGTTTGCCAACCTGGGACGGAAGGCAAACCCTGGCCAACTGTCGTTTATCTTGATTATCGCGTTGCTGGAAATGAAATTATCCTCCGAGTAGAAATCCCGGACTGCACAACCTTTAAACATTTTTTTCAATGTGTTTTATAATGCTTTAAATCAGTCAGAGTAAATAATACTAGTGTTCCTGTTGCTCGAATTCGAGCAATTGCTAAGTATAAAAGGCGTTATTTTAAAACGAATTTTAACCAAGTTTGTAAATGTTTGTAGTAAACTTATTTACTGTTTACAATTAACTTCTTCACTTCTTAATTCTTCTTCTTAGTTCTCATCACTTTAAATTTCTGACAACAGCTGGAGTTTCATAACAACTTTTGTTTCCCATGTTAATCTTATGGAGAAATATGTAACTTTAAAGGGCCCCAGGGCCTCACTCTCTAATTATTTCCCTAAAAAGAAAGTTTCCTGCACAACTTCACGTTACGCTCTTTAAAAATCTTGCTTGCGTATTAAATAAGTATAGATTATCATATGATAATGATGATGGTAATATTATCACCATGTACGATTTATTGCTTCTACAAATGTATTTCTTGTTAAACGTGGATGATGTTTTGTTGGTGCAAAGGAATTGATAAAATAAAAAAAAGGCTACTTCTTATTTTGAAGTTGTTAAGTAAAATAACTACAAAATTTGTATGTTTTTAACTTTATATGTTTTTTTTTTTTTAGGAAAGGAGTAGAAAATCTCTACAGACTTCTAAAACCCGGGGGACAAATGCTACTTTTATTTCCGGCTGATCGACTTTTTCAGAAAACGTTTATGAAAGTGAGGAGTAAAGACCCCTGGAAGCAGTATTCGAAGGTATAATCAATATAGGCCAAATATTGAAATCACTTAAACAATCATTTTTGCTTCAAACGCAATATTCTTATTGAATTAACGTGTATTTAGTAGGAAACTGCAAACAGGGAAATTGAGGGAACAGTTGTGTAAACAAATAAGGTAACAATTTTACACAATTTTACGTAAATTTTGATTTTACCATACCTTATTTACATGTCTTATGATTATTTTCGTCTAATATAGACGTATAAACATAGACCAATAGAATTAAATATAGAGCTACAGCAGTGATGTAGTTAGCATAAAATCTGGTGTCCACCGCTAGGAGTGCGCCGTAACTTCACGGCACTTTTAGCGGTCGACGCCAGCCAGAACTTATGCTTACTATCTATATTTAATAATATTTGTCCATTGTATTAATGGCAATGGCGTGCGGGGCCACCCACAAGAATCTTCTCTACCGTCACTTTGGTTATGTTGTCCAGTCACATCAACAATTAATTTGTTGTTAGATTACTTTAACGTCACTACTAAAGTTCGGCCGCTTAGAAAACGACCTGCGCGCTAATGCTAAACCAATGCTGGAGGAGGTCGCTTTCTAAGCGGCCGAACTATAGTGGTTTGATCTTGTTAAAATCGTTTTCTTCTATCCCTTCCACACGCCATACTAACTGACACGATCCATACATGATTAAGCTGAAGAGGCTACCTTAGCGGACTAAGCATATCTAATGAAATTTTACTAAGGAAGTAGATTGGGCGGTATTAGCTGTTGCGACAGTGATGCCAGCCATACATGGTATTATACCTAGGCCACTATGATTATAAAACCAAAATAAATTATTGTTTTATACCTCGTAATTAAAACATCCCAGTTATAATCTAAGATTTATTGCAATGTTTTGCAAAAAAAAAATGCCCTGAGTAAGAAATATATGAATATAACCATAGATAAAACATACTCCCTTAGTAGATTTGTCATCCTTATGGAACAGCTGAAGCCAATTTTATTGTTAGTTCTGTACGTCCAACTGTAGAGGTTATGTTTTGTTTACAATTTGTTTCTTGATATTTCAGTAATTTAAAACATCATTTAACCAAATAAAGTCTATGATATAACTCATATGCAATTTGTTCAGTAAACTTTAACCATTCATATTATTTAACACTCTATGTTTTATTTAATGTACATCTCTTTTCCTTGCAACTAACATGTGTTCTTAATCAAATTAAATTATTCTCTATTGCTAACACATGTTGTGTAAAAAAAGTAAATAAAACAGTGCTTGTTCTCCTATCCCAAAAGTGTGTTCATTTTTTTCTCATCTTATAATCTCCATTTAATTTCATTCTCTACAAAACATTCATTGGTCCTAATCGAGCCTGGATTTTGAATTTCAGTCTTTGGATTCAATTTTCAGAACACTTTCAAGCTATCGAAATATCTTTATTTTATCATTCAATCTCTTTATGTTTCTCCCCACTCTCATAGTGTCACAAACTCTATCTAATTCTTAGTAAAGTTTCACTCCATCTGTTTTGTCCAATATGGCTACCAGATCAATTTCACTCTCAAACTTCAACAAATCAACCCTTCTCATACAAAATTCTTTTGAAAAGATTCTCAAATCTGTACAAGAGCTTGAAACACTTTCCCCCTCAATCTTGTCAGTGATACAAATCAGAACTTTAAACAACTTCTCGAACCAGTTAGAAAAGAAACATGAAGCCTATGAAAATTACCTGGAAAGAGCCTTGGAACATATATCAGAAGAATTAGATTTGGATGCAGTAAGTGACACTGAAGACAAACTGCGACTGCTATTCGTCGAAGCCAAGTCTCGGATTGAAGCCCTTCTCCAACAGCAGCCGCAAGATGTTCCAGAAGAAAGTAAAGATTCAACAAGAATTAGTGACATCTCAGCTTCATCATCTGCTCACGTAAGACTCCCAAAACTAGACCTCATCACGTTTGATGGTTCTCCTCTACAGTGGGTCAGTTTCATCAACTTATTTGACACTAGCATCCATCTGAATGAAAGCATTTCAAACGTCACTAAATTTCAATATCTTCTCAGCGTGCTCAAAAATGAACCACTAAATCTCGTAAAAGCTTTCAGTATCACTTCAGCCAATTACTCAATTGCCTATCAGCTCCTCAGAGACAGATAGCAAGGAAAAGAGATGTACATTAAATAAAACATAGAGTGTTAAATAATATGAATGGTTAAAGTTTACTGAACAAATTGCATATGAGTTATATCATAGACTTTATTTGGTTAAATGATGTTTTAAATTACTGAAATATCAAGAAACAAATTGTAAACAAAACATAACCTCTACAGTTGGACGTACAGAACTAACAATAAAATTGGCTTCAGCTGTTCCATAAGGATGACAAATCTACTAAGGGAGTATGTTTTATCTATGGTTATATTCATATATTTCTTACTCAGGGCATTTTTTTTTTGCAAAACATTGCAATAAATCTTAGATTATAACTGGGATGTTTTAATTACGAGGTATAAAACAATAATTTATTTTGGTTTTATAATCATAGTGGCCTAGGTATAATACCATGTATGGCTGGCATCACTGTCGCAACAGCTAATACCGCCCAATCTACTTCCTTAGTAAAATTTCATTAGATATGCTTAGTCCGCTAAGGTAGCCTCTTCAGCTTAATCATGTATGGATCGTGTCAGTTAGTATGGCGTGTGGAAGGGATAGAAGAAAACGATTTTAACAAATGTTATTTGTGGTGTGATTCTTCAGTAACCTTGACATGGCTTCAAACTCCATCTTACAGGCTGAAAACATTCGTGGCTAACAGAGTCGCCCAAACACAAGAACTTGTCCCCTATCACTGTTGGCGTTACATCCCTAGCAAGGAAAACCCTGCTGATTGTGCTTCAAGAGGTATTCTAGCCACTGAGCTTGTGTCTCACCCCCTTTGGTGGTCAGGGCCTTCTTGGCTTTCTCTTCCCCCTTCAAACTGGCCTGATGTAACTTTTTCACCTACAGATATCTCAACATTAGATGAAGTAAAACACACTCCTCTAACTGTACTTGTGTCAACTACCACTGAATCTACGCTGACCAATCTTCTCATTAAATATTCTTCATGGGAACGACTTCTTAGGATTTTTGCTTACGTCCTTCGTTTCATACACAACTGTAAAGGTTCTGAAAAACGCCAAGGTTTCATCTCAACACAAGAACTGAAAGACACAAAATATCACATTTTTAAACTTGTACAAAAAGAAGTATTCACAGAAGAAATCAACTGCCTCAAACGGAAATCATTTTGCTCCACTCGTTTACAACGTCTTTCACCTTTCATTGACTCATTTGGATTATTGCGTGTTGGAGGACGTCTTTCTCAGACATCACTTCCTGAAGATGCTCGACATCCCATTATTCTGCCAAAAAAGCATCATGTGGTAAATCTCCTCATTGACCACTACCATATCTACAATCTTCATTCAGGCCCTCAGCTTACTCAAGCATTACTTTACAAACATGTTTGGATACTGTCTGCCCGTTGTGCCATACGCTCTCGTATCCATAAATGTGTCAGATGTTTCAAAGTCAAACCTAGAAATGTGTGTCCTCTCATGGCTGATCTCCCTCAGTCTCGTGTAACTCCTGCTCGACCTTTCCTCCACACCGGCATAGATTATGCAGGGCCTTTTACTGTTAAAATCTTCAACCTCAAGGCAGTGAGACACATAAAGTCATACTTTTGTACTTTCATCTGCCTCGTCACGAAAGCTGTACATTTGGAAGTAGTAACAGACCTAACGACTGAATCTTTCATTGCTGCAATGACTCGATTTGTATCTCGCAGAGGACATTCTTCCGACATTTACTCGGATTGTGGGTCCAACTTCATTGGTGCTGACTCTACCCTACGCAAGATTGTTGAAAAATCTCTTTATTGTCAAGACTCCAAACGGAAGATTCAACGATTCTCTTCACTTAAAGGCATCAATTTTCATTTTAATCCACCAGCCGCTCCGCATCAAGGAGGATTGTGGGAATCGTCTGTAAAGAATGTGAAACATCATCTCCGTCGAGTAATGGGAAACTCAGTCTTAACACTCATTGAATTCATCACATTGTTGACCCAAATCGAAGCAATGCTCAATTCCCGACCACTGACACCTCTTTCAAATGATCCTTCGGATCTCGCAGCACTGACTCCCGGACACTTCCTGATTGGTGCACCCCTCACAGCAGTACCTGAACCTAATCTCCTGACAGTTCCTGAAAACCGTCTCAAGCAATGGCAGCTAGTTCAAGCATTTCATCAACGCATATGGCATAGATGGCACCTAGAATACTTAAACAACTTGCAACAACGTACCAAGTGGACTCGGAAATCAAAAAATCTTGAAGTGGGTGACCTTGTTTTGGTACATATGGACTCACCACCTCTCTCGTGGCCTCTCGCTCGAATTACATCAGTTCATCCAGGGGCTGATGGGGTTGTGCGAGTGATAGACTTAAAAACATCAAGTGGCAACCTCAGAAGATCTGCCCACAAAGTGTTTCCCCTGCCAACTGTGGATTCGTGAACTGTTTTTGTTGAATCCACTGGGGATTCAAGGCCCCCGGTATGTTCAGTAAACTTTAACCATTCATATTATTTAACACTCTATGTTTTATTTAATGTACATCTCTTTTCCTTGCAACTAACATGTGTTCTTAATCAAATTAAATTATTCTCTATTGCTAACACATGTTGTGTAAAAAAAAGTAAATAAAACAGTGCTTGTTCTCCTATCCCAAAAGTGTGTTCATTTTTTTCTCATCTTATAATCTCCATTTAATTTCATTCTCTACAAAACATTCACAATTGTTGAAATTAGATTTTTCTTTTGAATTCCAAATCAGTCTTCTGTTATACAGGGTGTCTGGTCATAAGTGTTTTATACAGTTATGTACGAAATAAGATAATAATAGTGATTAGAAGTCCTCAACTGAAACATTAGGGTATTAAAGATAACTAGTGGTCGTCCTGTGGTCGAAACTCGACCAAAAATAATTAATGTACAGACTTCTCTATTTTCTCCCCACACTGTAAAAAAAACATGTGATTGGAATTTCTTCCATTTGTTTTGATTTTCTGTTTACATTTTGTTGTTATTTCGTCACCATCATGGCAACCAATATGGTCCATGTTAATTTTTTGAAGTTTTCAAAATCATTTTTTGTTCTTATTTGTTAGCCTATTTTAATTTTTAAAAGCATTCTGCACATCTACAGGAAAATATATTTCCAACAGTATGCGTAGATTTTCCCTGCGATGCACACGAGCTGAGAAAAAAGGTTTTAAAGAAACATGCTTGCCTATTAATATATAGATAGATTGAAGATAAAAAAAATAATAGTATCAAATAGGCATTATTCAGTCCCTATTACCATGTAGTTAGACCCACAATTGTATTCAACACTTAAGACCAGACACCCTGTATAATGATTATTGTTCATACACTTAAACCCCAATTTGTATACCAAGCCATTAGAACATAATAAGAAAATATTAAATTGAATATTTTAGGACGAAGAAAGAAAAATACCACCATTCCTGATCAGTGACAACCAATGTGAGGAGTTCAAACGGATGTTGCAAGATATTGGGTTTGAGACTATCAAGTGTGAACTCAAAAAGTACTCCACCCACTTCGACCATGTGGAGGACATCAAAGGTAAACTGAACGCTATATCAAGTTCAAGGATAAACTTATCAATACAGAAAATCAAGTTGTGATGAAGTGACGTAAGTGATTGATGAAATAAAATCTCCTCGATGTACTGGGTGGGGGTTAGTGGGGTGGTTTTATATCCACGTAAAACTTCGGTCTGATTATAGTATTTACAATTGTTCCCGAGGTTTTTAAATCACAAATAAATTTTAATCAAGGTAATTTTTAAATACTGGAATGAATAGTAATATGAAAAAAGCAATATAATTTAATTTAAATTTTATACTTGTGGATATTTGTATTTAGAGTTTTAAACGGTCAGATATTAGTTATGACAGCTCAAAATTCGTTGTACACTTTTATCTTTCGACGATTTATGTATATTCTTGTTTATCTTGTAAACAAGACAAATCGATACTACTTATAATAATTTATATACGAAAAAATTATGTTTCAAATGCATAAATCTTTGTCTGTTGGAGTAACACCCTATATGAACAAAATCATTTATTTAATGTAAAAATTGAATCTCACTTGAAAATTGAAGTGAAATAAAACTATTTAACCTTTGAAATTTGTTAGTAGTATTAGCATTTCATGGATTATTGACAGTAATGATAAATTAGTATTTTAAGTGATGAAATAGAACAAGACCATCAAGTTTCAGTGGGCTCGAGCCAATTGGGGGTGTTTTAGGCTTTTCTCCTCCTCAGCCTATTGAATAAGAACTGTATAAACATTCAAATACTAAGCAGTTCTAATGCATTTTCATAAATTAAAAATGTTGAAATAATAACTTACTGTAAAGTATTCTCATCATACAACTTTTAATATGAAGTTTCTGAAACTACATATTAAAATAATACTGAAATGATAATGAAAAATGATAAAACATTTGACACTTAAAAACTGTCTATCTTCAAGACATTACTATTTTAGGCTATACTGTGGTGTTATTTTTGTTTGTTGACCGAAAGTAATGCTAATACAGTAATACTTTCTCCGCCTATAGCTTACATAGAATAGAGAAAAAGTATTGTCTTCGTCAAAATTACCGAATATGAGTTTTGTATGGATTTAAAATCTTTTTCACCACACTATGATGTTTTTGGCTGTATTACATACGTTAATTGGTGGCCGAAAGTTACGTTTTGCTGGCCATGCCAGCTGTCGCCAATTTGGGGACCGAGCAGGTTTTTACAGGCCGGGGCCGCAAAATCAGCTGTCCGCTTACTTACTTAAAACATGAATGCGTTTTAAATACACAATCAAAATCCACGATCATTGCAATAGAATTGTGTTATTGTCAACGTTGCCTAGCAACTATTTATTTTTATTTTTGCTGATTCCTCAAAAAATTATTTCTTCACATAACCTTAAACTTGTAGTTGTGTTGACGATCAGTGTGCATTATATTATAGTGGTGAATAGTGGTAATAGGGTATAGTGTGGTGAAAAAAAGCGTTCGTACCACGGACCGAAATGGTTTTGCAGCTCTCGATCGATTTAAGTTCTCGACTTCGTCTCGAACTTTAAAACTATCTCGAGCCGGCAAAACCTCATTTTCGGCCCTAGGTACGAAATATACTATTTTGAGTCCCCTTAAAAAAAAACGTTTTCGATGTAATGTATGGATGTGTGTCTGTCTGTCCGTATGTGTGTGAGAATGTTTACAGAGCTACAGATTTTATCTTCTGTGGTCCAATGTCGTTGAAATTTGGTATGTGAGAACGGACTTGTAGCATTCCCAGGCTATTTTAATTTTCGATTTCAATAGTGATTTTTCATAAGAACCCATTAATTAATGAAAAATTGAATCTTCAAACAAACCACTGAAACGATTTAAATTAACATTTAGTATTTTACAGCCCTTTTAACTCAAATATAAATGGTACAATACCAATAATTACTGTAAAAATTACGGTTAAAAAGTTATTACAACTTTTGTGATTTCCCCCATTGTAAATCATAGTACTCCCACCGCTTACCCATAAGCGTTGTATGTGTCAGATTGTTGATACCGTTTATTTTATGTTCTCCCTGATCACCCTGTATGTTTGTCAGACCTGGCGGAGTCGCTGGACCACGAGATAGACCATGTTCCAGCAGAGCTGCGGCCCGAGTACCTACAGCACTGCTACGACACGTTGGTAGACATGGGTGCGGTCCATCCAGGTGACTCTGGGCTAGAGTTGACACAATCCATGCTGCTGGTAGTGGCCCGGAGACCATCACAGTGACAAACACTTGTATCAAGAATATATCTAACTTGAAGTGACACTATTGATAGCTTACACTTTTTTTGATTGCACTGGTCCAAGACATTTTTCTCACAGTGATTTTCAAATGCACGTAAATAAATATGCTACGCACTGCCATGTTTTCTGCAAAGTGTTTCGTTTCTTACCGTCTCACTTTGAGATTAAACTGTTGCACTTTGTACCGAAATACTTTAATCAAGACAATCTGCAGTGTACGTGATTGATAATTTTATTTTCCTGTATCAGAAGAATAGATTTTACACAATAAGTTTTAAATTTATTCATTAGATGTAGTACTGATGATGTGCATAATACACTTTATACCACCTCACCACTGGAAGTATCATTTTTATCATCAACATAATGATAACTGTTGATAAACCATGTGCGTAAAAGTGCTTTCCCCTTTTTAAATTTTCTGTAGAAAAATCTTTATCTTAAAGAAGAAAAAATAATATTATCCCTATAGGACTATTATTTATTCTTAGTAGTATAATATCCCTATATATAGCTACAGTATAAATCTAACAAAAATTACACTTTTTACAGATTTATTTTTCTAATATAGGTATCATTAAAGGAAATGTCAATTTTGTTAAGTATATTTCTTTTATTTTGTCTAAATAATCCAAAGCAAAAGAGAGTGCACATATAAATGCACTACAAGGACTAAAAATCCATGGCACTAAAACCAAAGCATAGACTGTAAGTACTCTCAAATAATAAACATTCAGTCGTTTTCCAAACACTCAAGGCGTTACCACCATAAAATACCCCCGCCGCAGCAAACCTGCCGACTAAGCGAATTTCCATTTGTCTGAATTGATTTTCAGTTTTATTTTAATAACATTAGGTTTAACGAGTACCTAGGTTTGCTGCTACAAGGAAACTAATAAAGTGTGTTTTTGAGTAAAATATTGATAGCTTAGTACAAAATAAATAAATTTGCCAACTTTGATCAAAATATATCCATAAACAAGCAAACTACAACATTTATCAAGATTCTCCATAAGAATAACATGGGAATTTTAAATTTACAATTTTTTTATAATTTTCTCCGTTACTAATAATTGAACAAAAATACTTTTATATACTAAATTATTTGTTTTCTTAAGCTCTTTAAAAAGGTCTAAAGAGAAATCGGGAAATTTTGTGTTTTGAGGGTCAAAAGTGAGAAAAACCAATTTTTACCCCATAAAACCCCCCGTAAAGCCCCGTTCCCATGGTCTGATCGTGCTGGTTCGCGAACTCATTCAAGTTTATCCCGCTTTACACCTTTAAACCAAATTTCATCAAAATCGGACAAAAATTACTCAAGTTATCGCGTTCACGGACGTATATATATATAAGTCTATATATATATATACATATATAAAAATTTGAACGAATGGTGTTTTTGGCCTCTGGGGACATCAAAATGAAAAAGTAAATCGGTCCCAGGTCTAGGTCTTACCGTGCCACCTACGGTAATAGCTACTTCCCTATAAGAAAATTTGCTAAAACACATGGAAACACATGGAAACTGCTTTTGAATGTTCTAATAGGATGACAAGTCTTTTGCTGATTCGTGTATACTGTATGTAGATGTATTATTAGGAACATGCTATACAGCATTAGAGTCTAGGGTTTTACCATGGATAAAACATACTCCCTAATGTTTTATCTATTGTTCTACGTTAGATATGAGTTTTAAGTTATGTCTTTAGGATTATGACGTCCCCCATGTTATATGTAGTATGAAACACACTCCTCTATAGATGTATCATCCTCAAGGATTTGTTAAAGACAGTTTGAAGGCCACGTTAGTGTCTTTTAATGCTTGAGTACATTGAAGTATTTACTACTATACCTATTATGTCTGGTCATACAGGCAAAGGTAAATAATGTGACCAATAGATGAACGATCGATTAGAAAACTTCTGCATCTATGCTGGGAAGAACACACATTGTTAAGTTATGGTAAGATGTACAGTATAGATAAGTTTCCCATGGTAAAATGTTGAAGTACGTTACCACATACCAATCACAAATCAACGCGAACCTTATAACCCTACCAGGTTTGCCAATTAGGGAGAATACTTTAATTTGGTGATTAATCTTGTAAGCTGATAGTAGGCGTGACAAATTGACAAGCCCTTTATTTAACCTGCCCCGAGTTAGACCAAAGGTCCACTCTTCCCCCAGGACAGGAACATCAAATATACAAACAATACATGTACATAGTTGTGGACTATGAAAATCTAAAATTTACTTATAGTAAGTGAAAACACAAATTATATAACAATACAGAAATGTAAAAAAGAGATTAACTTACACTGACAAATCAAAACATATTACATTGATAACTACCAATTTTATCACCTACAACTATTATGGAACTGTCAAACAAAATGAGGATACCTAATATTTGTATTTTTTTAGAAAGTAATAGCTGAAAAAACTTCCTTACGTAATGATTTTATACTTCACATCTTTGTAATAACAGATTTTTTGGTGCTTTAGAAAAACTTTTAGGGTTATTAAGGTTTTTCATCTCACTATCTAAATTATTGATAAGTCTAATTGATAATACATGGACAGATTTGTTATATATCACCGTTCTATGCACAGGAAATTATTATCTTCTTTACCAAATCTAGTTCCTCTCATATGGATAGCACGCATTCTTGAGTACATTTCAAACAAATATTCTGGCTTACAATTATTTAAAACTGTATAAAATGTGTTGAAAACATTTAATTACGACGACACTAGATAAAATACACCCCTTCTGTACAATTTGTCAAAAGAATACGACCACTAAATCACTATACCAACGTAAAAAAGTACTATAAAAACCCAGGTTGATTAGAATGGAGCAGGAAAACTCGAGCGAGGTTCATGAATTAACTACAGCTGTATTCATTTTTTTATTGAGATTCAGTGTACACACGTGCGTAGTGGATAAATAATTCAATAGGCTTATACAACCTGTTACATCATACAGTTGACAGGAATGATAGAGTTGTAGAAGATATACACCTGCAGCTTCTGATCGGCAAACTGCAAGCTTGGCCGTGCATCTGAGGTGTTATGCAATCGAAGGAGAAGATTCTGTCAATGGAATACTTGACTGAAAACCCTTTTTTTGTAAGCTTATGCTGTAGTATAACCGGTAGACTTCGATCCCAGAAGTTACGGCTTAAAATCCTGCAAATTACCAATGGGCTTTAGCCATAATGCCTTTAACCTCTAGGCCTATGTGGAAGTAATTCCAAAACGGTTCCAGGCAAGAGCCTGGCGTTGGAAGTGAAGGTGGGAAATAAAAATATCTAATTCAATTTAATCTAACTTCTTCATGAATACCTTTACTAACGTTGCACGTGTTTTTGTATAAACAATTACAAATAACCCTTCTACTGAAATACTTAAATATCTTTACTAAAGTGAATCCATGGTGGTAATCTATGTTCATTTTAATTTTGCATTTAACGTCTTTGTAGACAAATAAATACCAATACATGAAAACAAAAGTGTGTATTGGTGAACACAATCCCATGGTAAAACTTAATGCATTGAATACCCACATATTATTAACCTAATGAATAAACTTATATCTACTTATATAAGTTGCTTGCTAGTAGACGCGAGCCAAGTATTGATAAATTTTTATTAGGACTCCACCCTACAGCCTTGAACGTTTCCATGATTTTTTATGATATTTTACTATCAGTAAGTAACATATATTTCATCAAACATTCATAGTAAAGAAGTAGGTTCTTCTTTAGCTATGCCCGTTACTTTTATGATAAAATGATTCAAGAAACTGACGGAAAATAGAATTTAATAGGTATGACAAAAACATCAGTGTATAAATTACATAAGCCAAGAATGAATTAATTTTGTAACTATGGAAACTTGTTACTATTGAATATTGTAACTATGGAAACTTATAAGAATAAACAAAAACAAAATCTTTACTAAAAACAAACTATTGTCCAGCTGGTTTAAGTTAACAAAACAATTAACGTAAAGAAAATTAAAATCGGACTATTAATAACAAAATTGCAGCTAAAAATGATGAAGACAACGGTTATTAAAATTTATTTAGAACTGTCATTTTGTTGTTAATGGTCCGATTTCTATTTGCTTTATGTTCATTGTTATGTTTTGTCAAGAACTGTAAAATGATACCAACCTTGACTATATTTCTCATTTGAAAAATGTGAGCTTTCCCCTAACTCCGCTACCTCTAACGACAAAATTTCCAAAGTTGACCATATACAGGGTTAGGCAAAAGTCTGGAACCCCCCAGTTAACTTCTTAACGCGTTGCAGTAGGAAAACCAAATTCGGCACATATTTTCAACATAAGAAATTGCACTTTTTCATCAAATTTACAACTTTGCCACAGCCCCCAAAATGGGGTATTTTGGAGGCAGCCCCAAATTTTCAAAAGTAAACACCTATCTTGTGACTCATTTTAAACGGTTTATCAAGATAAATTGAATGGCGCAAACAAGAGGTCAATATTGCACCCCTAATCAAAATGACAGTCATTTTGAAATATCCCTTATTAGTTTTTTAACAGGTCATAGCAGGAAAACTAAGCTCAGCATACCTTTATAAAAAAAGAGAATTCACCTTTAGGTCAGTATTCAAATATTAATTTTTTAAGTTAAATGGGAGTCTTGCTTGCTCATCTGAAATTGTTAAATTGGCTGACATTTTGATTAGGGGTGCGATATTGACCTCTTACTTGCGCCATTCAATTTCTCCTGATACACCCTTTAAAATGAGGGGTCACAAGATAGGTGTTTACATTTGAGAATTTGGGGCTGCCCCCAAAATACCCCATTTTAAGGGCCGGGTAGAAGTTCTAGCTTTAATGAAAAAGTGCATTTTTTATGTTGTAAACATTTCCCGAGTTTGGTTTTCCCACTGCCACATGTTATAAAGTAAACTGGGGGTGTCCTGACTTTATCTTGCTTGCTCATCTTAAAATAAAATGGCTGCCATTTTGATTAAGGGTGCGATATTGACCTCTGGTTGGCACCATTCAGTTTCTCTTGATAAGCCCTTTAAAATGAGGGGTCACATGATAGGTGTTTACAGTACTTTGAAAATTTGGGGCTGCCCTTAAAATACCCCATTTTGGGGACTGGGGCAAAGTTGTAACTTTGATGAAAAAGTGCAATTTCTTATGTTGTAATTATTAGCCGAGTTTGGTTTTCCTACTGTAACGCGTTAAAAAGTTAAGTGGGGGGTTCCAGACTTTTGCCTAACCCTGTATTGTAACCCCTCAAATCTAAGAAGGTTGCCGCAAACAGATTTCAAATATCTCAAATGGTTA